TTGAAGATAAAAGTGGACCATAATGTGATAATATTAAAAAATAACTTAAATAGTTACCTACCCAATCATTTGAATTAATAATAATAAGTAAATATAATATATATATATATATATATATATATATATATATATATATATATATATATATAATATGTATTTGCTAGGAAAAATAAAAAGTGAATGCAACCGATTATTTACGTAAAGATTCCATTATAATTCTTGCTAACTTGATCCAAAAGACGGGGGAGAGATGATGTAATTTGGCATTTCCAGAATTGAGTAATTGAGACAAATGAAAATAGCTATCTATAAACATTTAGAAACCATATAGAAAGTAATTTATATTGTAAATTTTCTCATTAAAATAGCTAAGTAATTCATTTAACACAAATAATTAAAATTCACTTAATTTGAAACTTAAAAAAACAAAAAAACAAAGTGTCCGAAGGAGCACACAAGACAAGGGGAAGCAAAAGGAAGTAAATAAATAACATAGGGCACAAGATTTTGATCAGCTAAGTGGGTCCACCGACCTTGTATCTTATCTTATCTTGTTCTGAAAATTAAAAATATGGGTTTAATCCGTTCTTATTTTTTAAGTAATAGTAGTAAACTTGATTCTGGAATAAACGCCAACGACTATTATGTAAAGGTGAGTGCCATGGTCAAGAAAATAAGGTTATAGTTTATCTTGGAAAAGAATTATATGTTTATGAGCTATGTGATAAGATAAGTGACGCACTACATTTGACAAATTTTAGAGTGTCATTTTTTTTTTAATTTAAAAGCTACTTTTCCTAGTTGACTCTTAGCACAACATTTTAGGGCTGCACCATTTAGGCGCAATCCAATGGACAAAGCATCTCGCGGGTTTTAGGAAATGATCGCATCTCGCAGGTTTAGTGACTGCTTTCACAACTTAAACACATGACCTATAAATTATACGGAAACAACTTTACTGTTGCTCCAAGCACCATTTAGGGCTTCACCATTAGATTGGCACAAAGAGATATACCTCTGGGCATGGCCAAATTTTAAAGAACCTCTCTTTTTATCCTCAAGTGTGTTTACTTTTGCTCTCGGAGAAAAAAATTACTTATCTGTTTCAAAAGATTGGTGTTATTTTTTATTGGGCAAATATATTGAAGGCCCCTTAAAGTTAACTCCAGTTTCCATTTTGACACTTTAAGTTAACGCTTTTTTTATTGAACACTTTAACTGTATTGTGGACTATACTATTTAAACACAACGCATGACCGGCCAAAGGAGCGTTAGTTCCACACATGGTAAGTGTGAATGTTATTATTTTTTGCTTAAGTGGATATTCCAATGGCAAAAAACTAATCCACCCATTAGACCCACTTTAAACACCCGATTTTCTCATAATTTCTCTAAAAAAAGTCCTAATTTATCTTTCGTCTTCTTCCCCTTCAAAGTCGCCATTTTTTCCTTCAACTGAAGCTTAGGTGCCCAAGCTTGAATCTTTATTTGATTTTTTCCTCATCTGATTTCTTCCTCATCTTTCTCGTTTATCAGTTCCATGTCGTAAATATCAACAACTTCTCGCAATGGCATGGATATTTGTCATTGTCGGTTTAATGTGTCACTGACTATATCATGGTCACCTGCAAACCCAGATCGTCAATTTTATGGTTGTAAATTGGTAAGTCAATCGTATTGTTTTTCTCAGACCCTTGAATTTCTTAAAAAAAGAAATCTCTTTTTAATTTTTTTGACCACATTTCTTTTTTAATTTTGTAGGGTCGAGGTGGCTGCAAAGACTTTAGATGGCATGGTGACGAAATGCCCGACCAAGCTAAGAGGGTTATACGGGTCTGTTGAAGAAAGTCGAAAGAACTGAGAAAACAGTTGCACGGTTGAAGTGGTTATTAGTTGTGGTGGTGGTGTTGTTTCTATGGAATTGGCTTTGTTAATGTTGGTGGCTTGAAGAACACTGTAGTATTTTTTGGATATGCTGGTGATAATGATGTTGAAGTTACTGCTATTAGTTCAAGAACAATGTAGCAAGTTGGATGTTGGTACTAGGAATTTGGCATGTTGTTAATGTACACTATCTTGTTATGAATCAAAAGGCAATGACCTATTTTGTATGCAAATTTAAGTTCAGTTGCACTTCCATATTGTGTTATGAATGAAATGTAAATTCATATTCATGAACTGGAAACATAATTGCCCAAACATATTCATGAATTGAAAACGTAACTGCCCCAACATTCAATTGCATAATGTAATCAACTAGCAATACATCGAAGCTAAAAATAAAGCATTGTTTTGGTCTGCAAAATACATAATATTCAAGATGATAATAGAGACTTAGTTTACAACCTACAACCAACTAAGCTTCAACAAAGCATAACTATCGAAACAAAAAACTGGCAGTGACATCTTAGATAACATTAACAAAAGCTGGTCTGCTTCACAGTGTAACTGCAGCTGAACTTGTTTGCCTTTTTCCTTGCTGCACTCATCTGCTGAAATTGTGACATTGTCAGTTCATTTATTCCTTTAAACTTTAATCTAGGGCTCAAATTCAATGTGTATGTTAGTTGCAGATGTATCCTTGAATGTCCCAGCTGATATGACTCTCTCAGATGATATACTAGGCTGTAAAATGCAATGAATTAGTAAAAAAAAAATAAGTGATGTTCCAGCCCGCAAACTGCAAATAATAAAACTATACACCCTTACATTCAGGATAGTAATTCCAGTCCTAGTGTCAGTAAAAATCTCAAAACCAGTATGCCTTGGCCTTTTATGTCCAATGGTTGCTGCATTGGCTGAGCCTCCTCTAGATTGAGATGTTGTTGAAGGTTGTGTGCTAGTAGAGCTTTCTGTAGCAGATGTGAATATACCCCTACAATGCCAAGTGCAGTTCCTCTTCCTTTTCCCCTGCCTAGTCCAGGCCTCTTTCTCTTCCCTTACCAAGCCCAGTTGATTGATTGTTGCTTTGTCTTTCTACAACACTTGTATCCTCACATATAGATGATGGATTGCTTTGTTGAGATGGTATTTCCTGAGATGATCTTGGTGGAAGTGGTGCCGTATTTTGACTTTGTTGAGTAGCACTTCTTGGAACATGCTGAAATAATAGTAAGAAAAGAATGTAAAAGAATAAGTAAAAATATCAGAAACTTATCATGTTCCTCCATCCATGTGGCATGTTTGTTGGTAGTTTGAACAAGTCATCTTTACCCCCTTTCTTTGGTAGTTTACCATGCTTTTTCCATGTCTCATCCTTGGGTTTTCTCCTATATTTTTTTGGTCTACCTGGCATAGATTTAGGATCAGGAGGCTCTATACATGGATTTATCGATTCTATCCACATCTTTTTGTTGGGAATTGGTTGAATGAAATGCTTGTAAGCTTTAAGGAAAGTTTCCTTCCTATACCAGTGGGCAACATAATCATTTGGGTCCATTTCTTTATCATAGAATATAGATATTGCATGTTGATATGGAATGCCCCTCAACATCCGTGATCTACAAGTACATGTCATACTAAAATCAACAATAAATCTGTACACACCTTCGCCAACTTTAAACCCATGTTCTGCATTCCACATAACCTTACACCTCCTAGAGAGGGCTTTGTTCTATTTCAGTATCATCCTAGCCATTGGTTCAACAACTTATGGCCCACATAAAACGCCACATGGAACAGTCTTATCAACCAACAAAGGCTCATTTACTACATGCTTAATAAAAAAGTCCAAATGACCAATATGATTAAGGTGACAAACTATATTATACAGTTGTTCATCATTTTCAATCAAGACAAAGTCATTAGATTTCAGATTAATTAAATGAAACCCTCTATCTCAGCATACCCCATATTCTTTATGTAGGATGGAAGTTCAAAAAGAGAAAAGTGATCCTTGTCTATTGTGTGACCATCTGCACCTCTCTCTCCTACATATCCCGGGTCAGGATCCTTGACAATTTGTCCACCATGGTGAAAATCGACAAGAATATATTCGTCTGCATACATGACTAGATTTACCACTGCATTGAAAAACCAAAAAGCGAAAAAGAGGAGGTCAATAGATTCCCCAACCCAAAATTATTAAAAAATCTTAATTTTCACAAACTCCAAAAAACTAAATTACAACAACCAAAAACAACTAAATATTCTGTAAATAAAAGCTTAGCACGACGGAAACCTTCGATTGAAAGAGCATAAACCACGAAACTTCAGTCACGACCAACTCCAATCACCACCACAGTCGAAAGAAGCAAACGATTTCCCGTATTACTAATATAATCGACCAACGTTGTTGACGGACAATTAAATCTAACTCAAAATCGATGGAGAATCCACTAGGAATCGGTCTCAATGTTATTCATTAGGGTTTATTAGGCTAAGGAAAGTTCATTTTGGATGGAAGATCTATTAAGTGAGGCAAGGTAAAATGTGGGCAAGATAAAAAGTGGGGGTTTTATCTTGAGCTGGATAAATAAACATGTGTCAGCATTTTATTGCTAAGTTATTCCACGTCTTTAGCTTTTACAGACCGATCATGCGTTGTGTTTAAATGGTATAGACCAAAATACAGTTAAAATGTTCAATAGGAAAATCGTTAAATTAAAAACTGGAGCCAAGTTTAAGGGGCCGTACACCTATTTGGCCTTCTTTATTAGTTTGTTTAAAAAAGATTGACATTTTTCACTATTTCCTTAATAGAACTCATTTCTAGCCACACAAATGTTATGACAAGTTTCAGACCACAAGTTTCAAAAGTTTTGCAACCACACAAATATTCTGACTTATTTAAAATCACATATCTCAAAAGTTCTCCCTTCTTTATTAAATTTGTGTCAAGTCAAATTACGACAATTTTTTTGAAATACATAGTATATAATAGCCCAAAAGTTATCACCAACTATAAAAAGATTGCACTAATAACTTTTTCTTCTTGGCGGGGGGTTACAGAAGTGCACTTTATAATATGGAAAAGGACAATGATAAGATACAAGAGTAGGTAGTGAAAAGTAATTAAGATATTAATAACTACATAATTGGGTTTCTATGAAATGTATACTGTCAAATTACAACAACAAAAAATCACCAAAAAAGGCATCAACTTATTATGTACACAACTCCTCAATATTGCCAATAGGATGAAAACAAAGACATTATGTCCATCTGCAATTTTCAAGATTTAGACTGTTCCATCAACAAACAACTTACCTTTCTATAATGGCCTCTGGTGTATGTCTCAAATGAGTGACCATTTCAATCAAATTAAGAACAAAGAGACCAGTTAGATGGGACTCTGCTCGAAGACAATTGTGGCATATTACGAACGTTGACATCAAGAGGCAGCATACGATATTCGATATCTAGCTCTTTGAATATCTTTATCATTTCCTCAACTAAGAGAGCTCTCCTTGCCCATCTCTCTCCCATGTCTTGGAAATTCATTGTGTGTGAAAGCCATACTGACCACTTTATCCTGTTCAAGTCTTCAACATCCCTCAACACAATTGCTGGAGCTGGATACCAATGATCACTTTTGTTGTCAACATACCTGTGCCAGTACAGAAGCCATAACATATATTATTAAAAAGGACAGACTATTAATCAGTTTCTTGATTACGCTGAGAAACAACTCAAAAGGGCGTCCTGTTTCGTCCATTTTACCAACATCACACCAACCAATATTTTACTACATGATGTGATAGCGATTCAACTCCACATCATCAACTATTAAAAGCAATATTTCCATGAAAGAATAAGGAAGTATGAATTGTTCTTAGACAACTAAGATGAGTGTATTCCTATGTTGAGCAGTGGCGCAGCCACATGACTCGATTGACACCCCTTCGCGGGAAAATTACACTGTTTTGATAGGTAAATTTTCTTTTAGTGTTATATACTATGGGTTGAATCCCCTTGACTTCTTCGTGTGTTTACTTTTTAAAAATTTGACGCCCCTTAATGAAAATCCGGGCTACGCTACTGATGTTGAGCATTATAAAAGAGCAAACTTAACCAGTCTAACTTGAGATCAGAAAATGAAACAGCTCGAATTTATCAACTGAAGATGAATAGTAGTATATACCTTGTAATTTTCTCTTTCATCATAGAAATTTTTTCCATAGGAGTTGAGATATGAATGCAGAATTCAATTGCATCGCCCATGTCTGGACTACGGTAGTAGTTACTTATCGGCTTTGTAGATAGGACACTGTTTGGATATATGATCTTCTGGTTATCGTATCTCAGGAAAACTGTGGTCAAGATATTCATCTCTTCTACTACCATCTGAAACCCAAACATCAGAAGAGGTCCTTTAATATACAACTCAGAATATACTATCTGAAGATCTACCTTAGAGTGGAAGAATTTCTCACCTGAGTTCCGTCAATTTCAACACGATCACCTACATCAAATGGGTGCATCACAAATAAAAAGATGATTGCCTCAAATGTCGTCTTGGCCGTGTTTCCAAACATGAATACGACCAGAAGAACCTGAGAACTCAAAAAGACCAAGAACTGTGTAGTGGCAACTTTCAGTATAAGCAGCCAGACGACTAGTATGATAACCCCCACTAAGACGTTCAACATGTGATGCAGTTTGTTCACAGCAGTCTTTGTGTCATTCAAAGACAAAGCAAGAGCCCTCCGTTCTCTAAATGCATTCACCTGTAAGGAGAAAAGACCAAATACATGAATATCCTAGAAACAGGATTCCCAAGTCTTGATCCTTATTTCACAGTCAAACTGTGAGCAATTGTGGTACACCTTTTCTGATGGGCGACAAATTTTCAGGACTTCCACTTAAATTTCTTGTTCAACTCATTCAGCTATATTCAGCTAGAGGCATTTTGTTAGGGAGGCGATTCATCTCCACAATGAACTGTAAAAGTAAAAGACCTATGTCTATGCATTGAGATGAATTCCAAAACCATCTTTTGACTAAATTTTGGAGTAGAATTCCTATTGTTGGAATTTGGAGATAAGAGAAAAATAAGCTTTCTAAAAAATTCATGGAATTTGCTTGTCTGAATAAATATTATGCACCAGGAGTAGATACCAAAAAAAAAAAAAAAAGCTATATGGGGAAAGAGATTATTGAAGCAAATTGGCTATATACTCACCATCCAATTCTTCAATGCACGTTTACTAATTCCTTTGGCTTCAGTACCACCTTCAAAGAGCTGCATTGTTTTCAAAGCTTCATCTTCTCTCATAAAACGCATTATATCCTCCAGATAGATGAACCTGATGGCAATCACACAAAATAAGTAAATCAATTAGATCCGAGAATTAGAAGCCACAATATATAAAAGCTAAGGGTACAAGGGATGATTGTAGGGAATAAGCTTGAACTCATATATGAGTGCAAACGTACTAAAAGGGCAGCAAGTCGATGCAACCACAAAACAAAATCGGAAGAAAATATCTGGCCAACACCTAAACTGCACTTTCACATCTACTTCCTGCTACTTGCAGATTAACAACAAAGCAAATAAGCTACTTATGATTTACATAGTCAAATCAGCAAACAAAATGCAAAATAAGTTGCAATGAGGAACATTACTTATAAATCCTAGCAGAACAGGATACTTACTTAGAGTCAGGTTTCGCCACATTGTTAAAAACCTTCTTGGCAGCGATTTTTGCCTGTTTCTCGCTTGTGATTTCCACTGCAGCTTCATCATCATCACTTGACTGCTGAAGCTGCTCATCCAAAGTTGACAGCACTCCTTTACGGACAATATTAATCAACCTTTTCATATTCCAAGCTGAAACATTCTTCTGATTCAGCCTATGCAGATGATCTATAGTTATGCCTCCCTCTTCTTCTTTTTCCTTTCTAGACGTAGATCTCGAAAACGTAGGACTCCTTGGCGTAGCAGCAGCGGTGGACTTCCGTGGCGTTCCAATCGGTCTCTTTGGAAATATAGTGGCCTTGAGATCAGGAGGCAATGTAGCCCCAGCACTCTGAAGCTTCTGCACCTCAGCCATAACCCTCTCCTCCTCTTCTTGCTCCATCCTAATCTCAACCAATGGCGGTCCAGACAACGTCTCGATCACATACTGAGTAAACAAAGCTTCTTGAATCCGATCAAAGAACGCAGTAACGTGAAACGACATAGCCAAAACCTTCACCAACAGTGTCTTCAGCAACCAAATGAATGTTCCCACCAATAAACACACCCAAATTCTCGACACATACCTTAAAACCTTCGTATTAGTAATGCTCTCAACCTTCTTATCAAAAATACATTGCCACGCGATCAAAACTAGACTCAACCAAATACAATTCTGCACTGAATTCCTCAATCCATACACAAAATACAACACCCTTTTTCTTAAAACAAAATTCCTCTCAATCAAGAACACCCCTAACCTAATCCCCCAACCAGAAACCAATCTCCCACATATCAAAACCAAAACCATTAACTCCCATTTCCACAATGGAAGCCCGAAAATACTCCTCCCTTTAAATTTACTAATAGTAAGACTACAAACAAAAGCAGCAATAATCAAAATCAAACTCAAACTCTGAAGAACAGTCCATAGATTAAAATTCATTTTCTTATACTCTTCAGGAAAATCCTCATCCGAAAAAGGGTCATCATCGTCATTTTCACTACCTTTCCCTAAAACCCCAGATTTCATAGTAATTTTCTGTGACCTCTGATCTTGCTCCGGTGGGTCCAGTAACCTAGATTTAGTCCTAGTAACTAAAAGATTCGACTTTCTCCTAAAAGAAGAGCTGGAACTGCAAACTAAAACCTCGTCCGGTCCACCAGCCGGTCCAAAATTACTCACATTGGACCGGCGGCGAACCGATCCGTGACCGTTACGGTTCTCGTTAAAAGAAACTCGAACATCTCTCGGCGTGAGCACCCCGCGGTTGGGACTCTCTTCAAGTACCCTCGATAACGGCGACCGCTGTGAAAATGGTGATTCCGTTATAAAGTCGAAATCTTTATTGTTATTGTTATTATCATCCCTTTGTGCTCTCATAAATGCATCGCTTGAGAAATCGTAACTTGAATCTCTATATATCTTGTTTGCAGCATTCTCATCATTGGTATTCAACTGGGTTTTTGAAGAAGAGGTAGAAAGTTCAGTTTCTTTAGGGGTTTTGGGGGTTTCTCTGCTGTTTGTTTTAACGACGACGTCTTTTGAATCAGACGTATCCATAGCTGGAGAGCCCATGGCGGGAGAGGTGCTGGGTATTGGGGTTTCTTTTAAGAGATTTTGGCGTTCTTCAATTGGGTGTGAAGGTGAGTTAGCACGTTGAAGATGATGAACTGGAGATAGAGATTTGAAAGATTTCAGCTTTTCCATTTCAAGGACTGAAGTGGGCTTTAGTTTAGTTTCTAACAAAAGATGAGTGAGGAAAACATGAATATTTTATTGGGATTTGTGGCGGTGAGATAAAAAAAACAGAGCTAAGAGCTGGAGGAGTGCAGTGAAAATTGAAATTTATGTGCAATATAAAAAGAAAAGTGCGGTTTTGGTACAGAGAGAAAAAGTTGGTGTCTTTGTAGAGTTTGAAAGTCGAACGAAAGGGGAAAGAGGATGGACCAGTGTTCCAGTAATGGAGGAATGGAGCCCGGTAAATCCAGACCGTACAGTTGCTTGGGATGCGTGTGGATGCATTGCTCCATGTTTGAGTTGTTATCAATTTGGACAATAATCTAAAAGGCCATTAGCTTTAGAGTCCATTTTAAGTAATTATTTGGCCTATTTTTTGTGGTACACAATGTTTGATCTTTTTCGCTTATGAAAAAGAAATTAACTTCTTCTTTTTAAAGTTGCCCTTGAAGTAAATAGCCTAGGAGTAGTTTGTTATATTTTTAATAAACAAATTAAGATTAATATGGTCAATTCATTGTTAATTAATGCTAAAAGGTGAATTCCTTAATATGTTCAAAAAGAGCCAACAAATCACCTAAAGTGAATCAGGGGAAGTACTTTTTTCAAAAGTGAGAAGCAATTTATGTTTGACTAATTAATTTGAAAAGCATTTTAGAACAACAATTAATATTTGGCGAAGCTTTTAAAAAGTATTTTTAAGTGTATTTTTCTCAAAAGCGCTTTCTAAAAAAGTACTTTTTGGGAGAATCTACCTTTTTCTCCTTCTACAAAACTGCTTCTTGTTTACCTGTAAAATGGTACAGTCGAATTTATACGTGTAAACAAGTGAATCGATGTGATCCTAAAATGATAAATAAATTAGACAAAAATATAAGACTTAGCCTTGAAGTTGAGATAAAACAACAAAAATTTTGGTTCTGGGAGCAGAGCTTTCGGAGGCAGTAATAACAATATGAATAAGCAAGAAAGTAAAATGTTATTGAGCTTTGGATAGGATATAGTGTATGCTTGTCAGAAAATTCGTCTCCCTTACAATGATTGTAGAGCTCACTATTTATAGTTGCACCTAGGGAACAAGGTCTTAGGATCAAGCCCCTCTTTAATGACAATTATGAGGGCCATTGAAGAGTGTGTAACACTAGGCAGTGAATGCCATATTCTCTGTAACGGACCATATACTTAATGCTGTAGAATATTCTCCATTAAGTGTAATCGGGTGACGGGCATTTATTTCGCCTTTATCAATACCATTCTCTCCGACAACAAACGAGATCATAGCCTTCGGGCTCGATTGTCTTCTGTCTTCGGCTCCACGTGCCACTTTCTCATGTGATCATTTAATATGAACATATTTTACCCTATACAGATAGTCCCACTGCTTTCCGGTGGTGTAAACTTGTGTCACCGCGAAGTTGGTAGAGATACCTTTTTTGGCGAAAAATTCCCTGACCTCCTCCGAAATTGTTTTGACGGTTGATTAGGCGCACGTCTCTTCGCATTTAATACCCTGAACACCCGTCATCCCACAATTTAGCACCACTTTTGCCGATTATCGAGGTAATTATAGCCACGATGTTAGCCGCCTATTCCTTTACTTATACACATCAAACTTCCCCATTTATACTTCATAACCTTCCAAAATTCCTCAAACTCTCTTTACTCAACTCGTACTTGTCTTCAACTTTCTCTAATCTTCTTAAAAAAAACCCCTTTTCTCTATTCTGATAACCATGGCCTCTTCTTCCAGAAATCCCGTTCCTCAAAAAACAAAGGCAAAGCTGATGATGATGCTCCTCCTACGGTGAGCACCATCATTCCAAGGAATCTTGTCAAAACTAAGGACTTCGAAGAGAAGTACCCTTCCACCAATTCTCGCACGTGGGCTGTGGGTGCGTATCCTCCTTCCATCCGTCCTTCTAGCATTCCTGCTGTGAAGGAAGACTGCCATTGCCATGATTTAAACATCATCGCTCCTGACCTGCCGGAGCGGATAACCTCACCCAAGAAGGGTTTCATGTATTTTTATACGTGTCCCTTCACTTTGGGACCGTTCTCTTTGAGTGGGGAGCTTGACTTAGTTATCGTGGAATTTTGCATCCATTACCAGGTATTCCTGGCACAAGTAAGTCCTTCTATGTAGAGGACAGTTGCTTGTCTTTGGCGTCTATGCTAGGAGACGGGAGAGGAACTAACCCTGGATCGATTAATGAACCTTTATTCCCTTAAGATTTTCCCTAGGGGAATGATAAATTTCAGCAAACGTGGCCACCATGCTCTACTAACCATCATGGATGATGACAACGAACGTGGGTGGATGGAACGGTTTGTTGCAGTTGCCACCAGGGACATCATTCCGGCCACGACTCCATCCTTTCCGGACTTGTGGAACCATACTCGTAAGTTCACCATTTGCCTTTTCTTCTAGTTAAAGATCACCCCATGTTGTTACTTATCCCTCTTCTTTCACTTATTTCTGCAACTGGGTGGACACCATCGAGGGATGAACGCTTGGACCAGTGGGTCTAAAAGATTTTGGATGTAATTATGCCAGAGACCCGCACGTGGAAAGAACTGGCCCTAAATATGGGTGGAAGGCCAAAAATCATGGTAGGTCGAACTCATCTTGTCTTTACCTTTTGTATAAGAAGATTAATTAATCTTTCTCTCATGTTGAATTTAGGTCTACCCGAGGGCTCAGTTGTTATCCCTGAGGAGGACGTTTTGGCTGATCCTGCTGACGCGGCGAGGCTGCTACAGGAGGCTTTCACTCGAACATGTGTCTCCGGGCCTGCTTCTGGTGGAAGTGCTTCTTCTCGGAGTCCCCGTCCGGAGAACAAGCAACAAAAAAGGAGACGTTCCTTCGTGGCGAGGACAAAAAATAAAAAGGCAAAGAGTGTCGCAGCCGAGTCGTCTTCGGATGCGTTGGTGATGAGCGTCGTGCCTGAGCCGGCCATAGATACCGTGGTGATCGACAGTGATGGGGAAGCTAGTTGATAGAATATATGATTCCACCAAAATATATAGAGACCAGGTCCTCTATAGGTTCCCACTGATAGTGCTGATGAAACAGTAAGTAAATGGAACAGAGAGTTTTTACGTGGGAAAATCCCTGCTCAAGGGGATAAAAAACCACGACCTACACTGGTAGGATTTCAACTTCACTATGAGCAACTTTAAATTACAACCTATGCAATCTAGGAATCAAACTCTTAATCCCTCACTAACTTGTAATACACCTATTACAAGCCAGTTTGCAATACACCTATTACAAAGACTTCAACTCATGACTAACTCTAGTCATGACACAAACACTGAAGGTTTATAGTTTTCAAGGGGTTCCTAAGTAATGCTTCTAAATAAGCAAAGTAGGAATTACAATGAAGAACAATTACAAAGTTACAACTCAACTAAGGACATACAAGATACTTGCTATAGGAACTGGTCCGTAGTAGTGTTGTTCTTTGTTCTTGATGCACTTGAGACTTGAATGCTTGGCAGGCAAACCGGTTGGAGTGCTTGAATGAATTCTCAAGTGTTCAAGTGATGTTTTGTTGTAATTCTCTTTGTTAATACAACTTAGATGACATCACTTGAATGATATAATCACTTGGTTGGTCAAAGGGGAGTGACTACAGTACTGTGCAGCACTATTTGCGTGTACAGTGCAGGCAATCACTTTCCAACTGTAGACAGTTGACTTCGTACTGTTGTCAGGAAACATAAGGGGATCAGGTCCCCGTGTTGATGCTTTATCTTCTGAAGTCACAACCATTCACATTAGCTGGAGTTCGTTGATTTGAGTTGTGTACCAAGTGTGTCAGGTTCCTTATCTGGTTCTTTGACAGTAAGTTTGTTAGATCATCAAAACATAAAGCTAAGGTACTGTAAACCCATCAATTTCCCCCTTTTTGATGATGACAAACTTAGAAATTGATCACACATGTTTAGAGCAAAGTAAACCAGATGAAGTAACAGGAACAACACAAGTTCCCCCTGACTTTATGCTTCCCCCTTAATCGGATCCCTGTTTCAATTATGCTTCCCCTTTTTGGCATCATTAAAAATACACAAGCAAGCAATCAGCATAAAGAAGTCTAGCCTAGCTAACTCATGCCACATATGTGCACACAACATAATAGAAAAGAGAAACAGAGAGACATAAGCATTAACAGTAAAAGAGGTTAGTTATTGTAAAACATAAGCCTTTGCCATTATAGCAAAGGCAAAGGCAAATTTGGACTGTTATCATCAGGAGCAGTACAAGGAAACTCCATCCACACCACAAAAGAAAAACAAAAACAACTACCGTAGAGTCATCAAAAATAAAAAGAGATAATCCAGAAACTGGTCACTGAAGAGGTAGCCTAAGGGACACTAGTAGGAGAGGGCTTAGAGGCTGCATCAAGGGTGTTGAGAACGAGATCAATTCGGGCATTGGCCGATATTTGCTCTGCGAGCAGTTTCTCCTTCAGGTTTTCCACTTGTTGCCTGAGATCAACATTTTCTTTGGTCAGACGAGCGATCTCCTCATTTGACCCCGGTGCCCCTTGGGCCTGCTGACTCTCCAGAACGACATTCTTTGCCTTCAACTTTCGAATCTCCTCAGTAGCACTATTTTGGGCATTGATAAGCTGAGAGATTGTTGAAGTGCTTCCTACCCCTCCACCCTTTTCAACACATTCACATTCATCCAAAGTAGTTTGAGAGAATGTCTGCTTCTTTGTCCCTATCTTGGGTTGTCCCAAAGGCACATCAAAGAACTTGAAGACATGAGTGAGAAAAAATCCATAAGGAAGACCATGGTTCCCATCTTTAAAAGTTGCCACCTTTTGCATGTGCTCAATCATGATGGCTGGCAAGTTTACAGCGCGGAATCCATCTAGTGCTTTCATCAAACACAGATTAGACTTGGAAGTGATGGACCTTATCTCAGCAAGGGGTAGAAGAACCTTGTTCACCAACTCAAACAATAACTGATAAACAGGAAGCAGAGCTTTCTTGTGTACCCGTTCCCCCCGCTGGACTGTGCCTTCCTTCACAATAGCATTCCTAAAATTTGACCCACACATATTCTTGACAGAGGACATACCATCAGCAGGGACCTTAAGTATGTCTCCAAGCAGAGCAACATCTAGAACAATATCAACTCCGTTGACTAAAGTACAAATATGGTCAGATTCAACAGGAAAGAGGTCTGCATAGAAACTTTGGACCTCATCCTCATAGACTTTGCGCACATCCACTTTGAAGAGATGTCCCCACTATTAAAACTCGACCATTTCTAGTAGTTGTCT